TGCTTGGTATTTGCTGCTGTTGTCCTGTAATAAGCAGCCTCTATTCCCTCCACACCCCACCACTCCTACGGAAGCCAATTCAGATTAGATATCCTTGTAGGGCTGCAAGTTGCAAGCTAAACGCCTATTCATCAAGCCCAGGCCCAGTTCTGAGAACACCAGAAGTCTGTGGTAAGATCCTCCACTTCAGAAACACTGTAGAAAGTGCAGAGCAGCACATTTTCACAGCTGACTTCCCAAGAGTCGCCTGAAGCCAGGGGAGGTTGGAATATTTCTCAGATTCTTGGTTACCACAGCACAAATTTCTTCATCTTGGTCACCAGTCTCCAGCAGCCTGGCATGGCCAGTGAGCACTAACAGGCAGCAGTAACAGAGCCAAACACCAAAACTTAGCCAAATATCAGCAGCTGCAGCTTCTCCAAGGAAACCAAGCCTCAGAGTCTCTCCAGTACAGCTTCACATCCCACAAAAATGGGGAAATGTGCAGGGAGACACGTGCACACTGCAGTGCTGGCACTACTTTCTGTAACACATCACTTATGGATGCTGGGCTAACACCGGCTGAGAGCTACTTATTTTATATATACATATATATATATATAAAATATAACATAATATATTACTTATAAGCTCTCAGGAAATGAAGTTGCTGGAACTACATGTACTGTCCTTTCTTTTCAGCAAACTAAGAATTTGCAGACACAAGTTCCAAAATCAACTTCCATCTGCACTCCAATCAAGGGGGAGTGATGAGAAGGAAGCTGGTTAAGTCCAGCTTCCCACAGAAGTGCTGGTTTTAAGGGCTGCTCGTTTGCTTTTCATTGAAAAGCTTGATGAACTAAACTACAAAGCAGAAGAGAGCTCCAGCAACCTTTCTAACCATCTGTTAGTGGTTAAAGCCCAAGATTAAACCATCCAACTTCAAAGCTGAACAGACATTCCCACCATTACTGTTCGTTCAGCTCCTCCCATCTCATCATTAGCCAGGCAATAATCTGGCTTTCACCCACGTGACAGATTGTCCAGTGGATTCAGGAGCTGTAGGGGTGTGTGCCTCTGCACATATTTGGGTTTTTCAGTTGGTGAAATGCCAAAGGGCCCAGAAGAAATCCCATCACTACCTGAGGAAATCAGGGTGACTCCATGGAGCAGCAGAGTCCTCCTGGATGTGGGAGAAGGACTTTTGGTTCACTCTGAAAAAAGCCTTTCTGTAATAAGTAATTTCAACAAGAAGTTTCTCCTACAAACTCCATCCCTGGGCTCAGGTAATCACCAGCTTACACAAACAGATGGGGAAGGAGGTGCCACAATGAAACAGAGACCATGCCACTCTCTGCAACCACACAATTGTCTGTATTTGGCTCCCTAAAAGGTGGGCAGTGGAAAGAACACCCTCAAGAGCAGCACTCCTGGCTGTCAAGAAGAAAAGGGGGCTGGATCCAGAGGCCTGGGAAGGTGGTGTTCAAATATTCTCACTGGAGAACTGATCTGACCACTCCTCTAAAGGCCATGGAAGGTAAAAAGCCAGGAAACTTTGTTAACTAGAGGTTGGGGGAGATGGGTGAAGGTGCTGCCCAGCTGGACCTTCAGCAAGCAGTGGGAGAGACTTCTCTCCAGACAATGATGGTCAAGGCAGTTGGAGACAGGGAAATGACAGGCACACCACAACTGTCCACTCACCCCAGTGCACAAGGCAAGGGGTGTTTTGCTCTCCCACTGGTTTGAACCACTCCTGCTGGAGAAATTAAAAAGTACTCTGAGGACTTCCAGCTTTACTAAAGATCAGGGTCAATCAGGTGATCCAGGTCCTGAGACAGCAAGTTTGGGATGAGAAGACATCTCAAGCCTTTCATGAACTGCCAAAGGAGTTTCTGAAACCACCTCCTGTGTGGTTAAGACACACTCCTTCCACCTTATTTATTCCTGCCTTAGTCTAAGACCTGTAAAACCAGTGGCATGAGGGGAAACACAGAGTTTACCTCTTCCCCAGAATCAGCAGTGCAACAGGAGTCCTGGACACCAGGTCAAAACAGAGAAACAGGATTCCTGGTCAAAACATGGGACCTTCTTCTGGAGGTAGAGAGTCTGTGCCATGGCCTTGTCCCACTCACAAAGCAGATTTAACATCCCAAAAATCAGTTTATAGTGCAGACCTGCAAAATAACAGGGCTCTCTCATGCAGTCCACGAGGGAAAACAGTCTGGGATAGTGCCACAGCAGACAGCTGGCTTTATTTGTTCAAAAGGGACATGCAGGGGAGTACTAATGGGTTGATGGCACTTCTCCTGAACACAGGGCTGGAAAGCAGTCTAAGAGAAACTGATTTTAAGAGGAAAGTGTTTAGTAACCTGGCTGCCTCTTCTATCTTTTTTTGTCCTCAGCATGTAAACAGTGCTGCTCATCAGACAGTGTGAGCAAGGTCTCCTGGGCTATGGTGCAACTCTGGTGTCCAACTCCAGGATGGCAGAAATACCTTGGATCCCATCATCTATCACCTCACGTGTCTTCACGTTCTGACAAGTACGACCCACAGTGGATGTTCTTAATCCTGTACATCCAGTTTGGACATACAATGCCTCGCCCTTAGAAATTCTGAGGCCACAGATATTTCCCCATTATGGAGGAAATCCATATTTTCTTGAGAACTGCGTTCAGTGACACTGGTCTTTTCAATTCACGCTGCTGTGTAAGTACTTCAGCAAGAAACACCAGGTGAAGCTGCAGGACAGCCAACAGAGCCTGGAATCTATGCTCAGAAACTCAGATTTATTAAGACTGCCACACTTCTGTTCTGTGGAGCCTTTAACACTGATACAACCAAGGCACTGAATTAAAGGTGCTGAAACTCATCTCGTGTCATGGGACTAATACTTTCAGTACCCAGCTCTGTGATATGCTTCCCAGCCAGTGAGGAAACCTCTTAGCACCAGCTTCGGGAATTTTACATGGAGTAGATTTGTCACCAAGCATTTCACACTTCTTCCAGCAGAAGAGATGTCCTCCAGGCCATCTCTGAAGGTCTCAATATTGGGATGCACTCAGAGCAGTCCCCAGCAGCTCCAGACTTCTACACTGGAAGTGATCACGTCCTCCTGAGGTCTGGCTGTAGGATCTGTGTCCACCCCCACCTCCCACCATCTGGACTCAAGCTCCTCTGCAAAGCAAGCCCAGCCAAGACGTGGAACCCAGCAGAAGATCCACAAATTCCATGTTGGACTGTGCTGAACCAGATGCAAAACAGGGGTCAAGTATCTGTTCAGCACAGAAGCATCAGAAGTTTATGGTAACCTGAGAGGTGAGGTAATAACAAAAATGAAGGCCAGAGAGCCTAGAGGCTTTCCAATCTTTCAACAGATCAGACATTCACCAAATTCTGCAGCACTGTCATTCCAACCTTTGTGTGCTCGGCTGACCATGCAAAGGAGGGAAAGGTTCATGCACAGACACAAAACATGAAGCTACTTCAAAAAAATTCACCTGGGGCAAGCACAGACTGTCAAAGCATCCACAAACACACGAGAACAAAGCATTTCTTCTCACTCTGGGATCCCATCCCTGCTTTGAGGGCTACCTGGTGCATTGCACATGGAATAGTCATCACAGGAAAAGAGGAGTCCCACTAAGGGCAGGAACCACAGACCTAGACAAGCCTGTGTTAACTGGATCAACTTTTAACTACAGAACTGGGTTTGCTCCTGTGTCCTTGGGCCCTGAGAATCTTGTGTTTATGGTATCCACAGTGCAGAAAAGCCTGGCTTGAAAGGATCCACCTTCAGTCTTGCACAGACTCAGACAGTCAAGGCACTTCTGCAGGATGAAGAAGATAACAGATTTGAATCCCTTCATGTAAAGAAGGAAACTGAACCCAGGACTCCTTCCAGCACTTGATCCACCACTGAGCTCCTTCAGGAAGCAGCTTCCAAAGCATGTCCTGGCACACAGCAGGGCCAGGGAGTCACACACCCCAGGCAGAGGGCACACAGGGCACTGTACCTGCTGGAAGGACTTGAAGAACACAGTTGCCTGTCTCAAAACACTGTCAATGCCACAGAAGGAACCTGCCAGATCAGCCACCATAGTGGGAACTTGAGATAAGCACAGAAGAGAGACATTTACAACAGAGAGACACTGATTCCAGGCCTAGCTGAGGGTAGCTTTGGTCAGCACATCCTGGTTAATCCATCCAGAGAAAAACTCCCACTGTGGTAAACTGGAGGAAAGGAAGAACTGCTGCCAGACAAGGTACCCCAAGCTATGGGGACATCTGTGACCATCCCATGGATACCCAGAGCTTGGACTGGATAAAGGTGGTGACTCCAGAAGAGCAAGTGTGGGACCACCATCTCCAAGCCCAGGGTGAAGAAGGACCAACAGGACATCGCTGGATCCACGGGTGCTGATGATGATTTGCTTGATCTCTCCCTCCCACCCTCTTTCCTATTTCCTAGAGATGAGCTCAGGAGTGTCATAAACCCGGAAGTGCATTTGTATTCTGACTTCCCAACCACTGCAGTTCCAGATCCCAGGGAAATTTGAGCTGAGGTGAGAAGCTTGCTCCTGGGTGGGGCAAGTTCAGGTAAAAGGGAACCTTAGTGTCAACTTTCTTCAGAGATCCCCTGTCTGCAGCAGATCCAAAGTAAGCTGTTGGTCTCCAGAGCCACTTTTGGGTCCTGTCTCCCTCAGGCTTCATCCCCCTGAGCAGTCACAGCACAGCATTTCGGAGGTGTGAACTTCAAGCAGTGTGGTTCAGATTCAGATCTCTCTTACTGACATTTTTGAACTGCATTTCTTAAATAGCACATGCCTGGAAAACTTGCAATAATGGCAAGTACAGTATTAAAAGACCATACCCCCATATTAAATATCACTTTATGTGACATTTTTAATCATTACCCACAGCCTGCCAAGGTTAGAGACCAAGCTTTGACTATCACAGATGTATCAAAGAGCCCCTTCAGCACAGATTCCCAAAAATGCCCAAATGAAAAGCGGCCACTTACGTGCAGAGAATTGATTGGTCCTCACGATCTGCAAAACAAGAACAAACATGGTTATAGGTTTTGGTTTATATTGCCCTGTAATTTATAATATAGTTTTTCCTTTAAATGAGTGTTTTTAAAATTCACCTTTTCATCTAAGGATGCTCTAAAGCAATTTTAATAATGTCCAGTTCTCACACACCCCCCCAAAAAAAATCAGCTGTTCCTACAAGTCCTGCCATTTGAGATAATAAAAGTTTAAAATTGGTTAAATTTAATAATAACCCACTGTAATCTTCCTAACTACATTTTCAGATAAAGCTGGCTTAAAGTACTGCCATTTCAGATAGAAAAATTCAAAATTTTGGTTAAAATAAATAATAATCCACTGCAATCTTTTTAACCATATTTTGAGACAAAGCTGACCTAACATTTTTTATTCTGTACGCACAAAGAATTTAAAACCTTCACTGAGAAGAAAAACAGCCTCAAGTACACAACACTGACAACCAGACCCTTGGAAAGAACAATGACATCCCCAGCAAACAAGTGCTTTACTCCACAGCTTTTTGTTTTCTTTTTTTTTTACATTAACATGCAGGCCTGAAGTGCCTCCACAATTTAGCTTATTCATGAGAGCCTTGTCCAAAGGACATGCAGGGAAAGGCTGCACAGAGCCCAGAGCTGCAGCAGTGGCTCAGCACTTCTGTGACACTGCTGTGCTCCCCATCTGAGAGAACTGCCTGGAGGGCACTGATACCCTGCAAGGGGCATTTCAGGATTACAAGACCTTCCCAGAATATATTTCAGCAGCACACACTCTAGATTAAAAATTATATATCAAAGCATTCAAATCCACCTGCAGTGAGGAAAGCATTTTGGTTGAAGGTGTTTTCTGCCCTGTTTGAGCCAGGTTTGCCATGAGTTCAACATCTTTTTCATAAATCTGCATCACAAAGATCTTGTTTTTACACTTCAGCTGTTTCTCACCAGCTCCAAGAAAACACAATTGTCTCCTGCAAGCTCAGAACTTCAAACACATTTTCTGTTCTGATTGGTAATTTGTAATGAATTACATTATAATAAATAAAACCAAGCTTTGTTTTGCTCATGTGTAAAGCTCAGGACTACACAGAGTCCCTGCCAGTTTTCCACACTGTATGAAACCATCACCCTCCCCATGGGATAAGCTGAGTTCATGGTGTAACTATTAGTCTTGAAGCTGAATTTCAACTTCAGAGAGGCAGCATCTAAAAAAACATAGAGAATCACTGAGTCATAAAGGCTGGAAAAGCCCTCCCAGCCCATGGATCCCCCCTGTGCCCCATCCCCACCCTGTCCCCCAGCCCAGAGCACTGAGTGCCACGGCCAGGCCTGCCTTGGGCACCTCCAGGGCTGGGGACTCCAAACCTCCCTGGGCAGCCCCTGCCAAGGACTGACCACCCTTTCCATGAGGAAATTCCTCCTGATGTCCAATCTGACTCTCCCCTGGCACAGCTGAGGCCGTTCCCTCTCCTCCTGTCCCTGTTCCCTGGGAGCAGAGCCCGACCCCCCCCCGGCTCCCCCCTCCTGTCAGGGATTGCAGAGCCAGAAGGTCCCCCCTGAGCCTCCTTTTCTCCAGGCTGAGCCCCCCCAGCTCCCTCAGCTGCTCCTGTACAGACACACCAAAAAGAGTAAGGGGAAAACCTGGGACTGCAAGAAATGAAAGCTGAGAGTAGGCAAAAGCAGTGGGAGTATAATGAGAGAAACCTTAAGGAGGCGCTCTATAAAGTTTATGTTCTCCTTTTGATACCTGGCACCTGGACTTACAAGGCCCATCAAAAATAACTTTTTGGTACCAGCAGCAGAGCAAGCCCAGCTGGATGTCCTCCATGCCCAGTTGTCAGCACAGACAGAGGCACAGCTCTGCCCCTGCCCTGCTCCCAGGGCACCACAGTGACTCAGGCACTTCCCAACCACTCCCTGCACCAGCAAAAGTCAAGGTGATGCAGGACAGTACAAACCATTTGTTCTTCCAGAAGGAACTGCTGAATAGATGCCAAGTTGGTACCATGAGTAGAGTTTAAAGTTAGTATTTCCCAGCTTATGTATTTATTGGGGCATTTTTTTAAAGTTACAACTTGATTTTTGCCTTTTTACACCCCAGGGATAATGTCACTCTAATTTTGTCACTGTACCTCAGCCACTTCATCCAAAAACAGTCTCCTCCAAACCAGAGCTCTTTAGTTTAGCACTTCTGAAATACTTGAGAACATGGGCAACATTTGCCTTGAAGTTTAAAGCAGTTTAGTTGAAGACAATGTGTGTTTGTCAGTGCTTTGTATCATATTTTACCTGTCCATTTACCACTAGCAATGCTACTGTGCCACAGCACGCACTGCACACTGGATAAATGAATGTTCTTACCCAATTAGTCCAACAGAAAGTCTACAAGTCCAGACATTTACATGTATTTCTCACTGCCAGAAACTCCAGCAAGTGCAGCTGAGCTTTTTTATTTTCTCTGTCCAGGAGTCTGAATTGACACAGACCTTATAAAGAAAAGTATCTGAACTCAAGTATGTTACCCCCAAATCCTTTTTTCTGGGTCCATCTGGACTCTGAACATCACAGACTACCAAAGTGGAAGTGAGACAACAGCAAGGTTCAAGTTTTGCCTTCTGATGGGCAGTTCCAGCATCCAGCCCTGAACAATAACACAAACTACAGCGTGAAGCTCAGGGTGATGCTCTGTGTGCTGTCAAATGCCAGATGCCTTTTGTCTCATTCTGAAGAACACCCCCAAAATGACTAAATGGAAGGGTTATTTATGGTTGGTTTCTTTTGATTTCCTCCTCCCCCAAATAACTCCAGGTGTCTGTAGCTTTGATTTCCAAGCAGCTGCTTCCCTTCCTCAAGGCTCCTTGAGCAGGACCTCCATTTCCACCAGCCTGCCTTTGAAAGAACCAAGCCCATGTGTGGCTCTTGACAGATTTGTCATCTGGGGTAAGGAAGAAAGGTCTAACTCCCCTGAGCAGACTCCAGTGCTTGGCAGATCGTGGGTTAAACTCAGCTCAGCAACCAAATTCAACCCAACCAGATGAATGTTAGCAAGGATGTTTAAGTGGGGATGAACTAACAGGACCAAGCTCTTAATTCAAGCTACATCATAAAACACCCCTTTGGTTTTAAATCAACAGGAAAACCCCATTGGAATCTACCACTTCACTTCTGCAGCTTGGATTTAAATATAGCCCAAGGTCTTCAAACTACACCGAAGACCAAAACATTCGAGTTGCACAGACAAGGTTTACTACAATAACTTGAAAATAAAGTTATGGAGAGGCTGTGAACAAAAACAAAACTTGATTTCATGCTGCTGAAATAAGCTTTGAAAGGTCCTATGGAATGGAAGAATCTGGAAGCATGAAGGCAATACAACCTGACACTGGGCATTCCTCCTTTGGAATCAGCAGCTGCACTGTAGCTGAGGAACTACCAAAATCTAGTGCTCAATCAGATCAGCTCCCTGGTGCAGTCTGTAACACAGGAATTAGCACACAGAATATGAAAGCCACCTCTTGTACCAGCTACCAACACTCTGGGCACCCCAAAGCCACTGTGAAAGGCACCTTCCCTGGCCCAGGGGAGCTGCAGACCCTGCCCAGCGAAGGTGCCACCTCCTCCATGCCTGGTGTACATTCCCAGGCCTCCCATGAGCCAGCACTGGCACTCACCTATGATGACCCAAGGAGTGAGTGATCCCAGCAGAAAACTAACCCTGGCAAAATATGTGATCAGACAAAAGTGGCTGTTCATTAGATCAGCGTACCCTGTGTCACACAATATATTCATACACAGCTCCAGCTGGATGTCTCAGGCACTGAAGCCTTTCTTTCACTCCTGCTCCCCTGCTCCTTTCACCCCCACCCAAAGGCAGGATCTCACCCCAGGGGAGGATCAGCTGCTGTGGAGCCAAAGCCACTGACGGAGCAGCAGCAGCCACGTTAAACCCATCACACCACACATGCAGGGAACAAACACCCTGAGGAGGCCGAGGAGAACACCAGAAAACAAGACAAGAATAATAAGAAAGCCATTTTCCCTCCTCTGCTCCCGCCTCCCCACAGGAACATGCTGTGGGGGCAGCAGTGGGCAGCTCCTCAGACAAACCTGTTGCTTGGCTGCAGAAAGGTTGCCATGTTTTCTGGTTTGAAACTCCTTAAGAACAGGCAGATCCTGACGATGGAACAAGATGCACGAAGTTCTGGCTGTCAGAACACAAAACATTTGACTCCACATCCCTCCTCTCACCAAGCTAGATTTCCCACCCCCCAAAAGACTTTACCTGCCAAACCCCTGGTAACTCCAAGGAAGGCTCCAGATGCACATCAAACATTTGTTGGGCAATTGGCTTAGGTAGGATGCTGTGAAGAGCTGTAGCTCAAAGTTATACTCTGTCTACAAAACAAACTACTGTATTTTAAAGGCAACTTTACAAGCACGATTTTGTTCTGCTCTGGTCACACTCTAGTAACTTATAAATTGATATAAGACAATTAAACAGAAAAGCAAGAATCTTTTCAAGTTTCCCACCAAAACTCAAAGGCAGCAACACTGCAAGCACAGAAACTTTATCACAGAACAGACCTTACAAGCACACTGACACAGCCCCTACAACCGGCTTTGCTCCAACTACCCTTTACTGTACTGCAATTTACTGTATTTTAACTATTGCAAATGCCCAGATCTGCCTTTATCTCTCACAATTTGACTCAGAATGAGCAGAAAAGGCTATCTGGAGCTATCCCACAGAGTGGACTGCCCAACCAGAAAGGCATTTTTTGACTTAATAATAATTTGTAAATCTATGAAAAGAATTTCACAGACCCTGCTTTCAGCTTGAACCCATCTCTGATTACAGTTCTTAAACAGTAACTTCCATGCAAACACTGACTGTCTCACAACCCCATTATTTAAGTTAAGAACACACAATAAGTAAGTGATAAAAAGGTTAAACCTAGCAAAGCAGTGAAAATGGATGTATAGAGTTTTAACCTGCTTTCCCAG